TAATGTGACCTAAGTGTAAGTAGAAGTAGCAAGACATACCTGAAATCTTGCATGTGTACGAGACAGACTTTCATTTTACACTCACTTGGCAGGACAGTAGTACCTCCCTGGGTGGTTGCTGTTTACCAACCTACTACCTAGGAGTTGAGGTTCTGTATTTTTCAAAACTTAAGCTTTGGTTTTATAGTCAGTTACCAATCACAGTGTAAAAGACAATGAGCAAAAGAAAAGCAGAAAGTGATATTAACCCTTTGACTGTTTTGGTCGTATATATACGTCTTAGCACCACTGTTTTGGGCGTATTTATATGCGTAAATTCTAGCGGCTTCAAATCAGCAGGAGAAAGCTGGTAGGCCCACATGTGAGAGAATCGGTCTGTGTGGTCAGTGTGCATCACGTAAAAAAAATCCTGCAGCACGCAGTGCATAATGAGAAAAAAACTGACCGTTTTTTTTATTAAAACGCCGATTTTGAGGTGTATTTTTCTATATTATTTATCATTGTATTCTCATTTTCATGGTTTCATGTCATTAAATGGAAAACATGTTATAGAAATAGAGATGATTTTGATTAGTTTCATGATGAAAATGACCTTGAAATTGAGCTCAAAGTAGCGGAAATGTTCGATTTTTACCAATGTTCAGGAGTAAGCAAATCACACCACACGTCCAATACACGTCAACTGGGGAGTCTAATATTCTTTCATTAGTGCACTGATATTATTTCTACCATTTTTACAATAATACAGTAGTCTGCATAACAGTAAATTTTGTATTTTTTGTATGAATAAAAATAAAAATAGAAAGCAATAGTAATATAAGAGGGAGCTAGAGACGTGACTAATGAACAGAGGATATGTTATTTTAGTGCCAGGATGTCTACATTGTTTATTCTGGACCCTCTTTTGAAATTGGCATTTTTTTTAATTTGTATGAAATTGGCCAAATTGCCAATTTCTGACCATTTTATTGGGTAGTTCAAATCGGTAAATGGGCGATTTCTTGTACTCATTTGATAGAAAAAATGGAGTTCTAAAGAAATAGCTGAGTTTGGTCAACGGGAACAACGGAATTGGCCAAAAACAGTGCTCAAAGTCGGCAAAATCACTGATGCATATATGTCATCGAGATTGCTAACTTTGCGGGAGCGTAATTCCGTGAGTTTTCAACCAAATTTTGTACTTTTGGTGTCATTACCATCAGGAAAAGATTCTCTATCATTTCATAAGAAAAAATAATTTTTTTTTTTTCCAAAAATTTTGCGACATAGAAAGAAAGTTTCAGAAAAGGGCTTGCAACAGTCAAATGATTAAGAGTCAGTACAGTGGACCCCTGGCATACGATGGCATTGGCATACGTTAAATCCGGCATACAATACATTTTAACATAAAAATTTTGCCTCACCTCACGTTAAAAACTCGCCTCATGCGATTTGTCCGAGACGTCCCATGTTTGGCCTCAGCGCCAGTGTTCACAAGCCAGCCAGTGGAGTCGCATCTACGCATACATTCAGTACATTTCACATTATCCCAGTGTTTTAGTACGTGTACTTGTAACTACAAAATAAGTCACCATGGACCGCAAGAAAGCTTCTAGTGCCATCCCTGTGGCAAAAAGGGTGAGAATTAGTGAGAATTAGTCCTTGGAGGCAAAGAGGGGAATGTATGAGAGTATAGTTTTACCAACGCTCTTATATGGGTGTGAAGCATGGGTGATGAATGTTGCAGCGAGGAGAAGGCTGGAGGCAGTGGAGATGTCATGTCTGAGGGCAATGTGTGGTGTGAATATAATGCAGAGAATTCGTAGTTTGGAAGTTAGGAGGAGGTGCGGGATTACCAAAACTGTTGTCCAGAGGGCTGAGGAAGGGTTGTTGAGGTGGTTTGGACATGTAGAGAGAATGGAGCGAAACAGAGTGACTTCAAGAGTGTATCAGTCTGTAGTGGAAGGAAGGCGGGGTAGGGGTCGGCCTAGGAAAGGTTGGAGGGAGGGGGTAAAGGAGGTTTTGTGTGCGAGGGGTTTGGACTTCCAGCAGGCATGCGTGAGCGTGTTTGATAGGAGTGAATGGAGACAAATGGTTTTTAATACTTGACGTGCTGTTGGAGTGTGAGCAAAGTAACATTTATGAAGGGGTTCAGGGAAACCAGCAGGCCAGACTTGAGTCCTGGAGATGGGAAGTACAGTGCCTGCACTCTGAAGGAGGGGTGTTAATGTTGCAGTTTAAAAGCTGTAGTGTAAAGCACCCTTCTGGCAAGACAGTGATGGAGTGAATGATGGTGAAAGTTTTTCTTTTTCGGGCCGCCCTGCCTTGGTGGGAATCGACCAGTGTGATAATAATAAAAAAAAATTATTATGGAATTGAAAAAAGAGATTAAGGAAATGTGTGCAAAGTGGCTTGAGGTGCAAACCTTTATGGATGAAAATCACCCTCACACAGCTATTGCAAGCTGTGCTGGTGACTATTACAATGACAATGTTGTGAACCACTTTAGACAAATCATAAAGGAATGAGAGGTACAGGCCTCTATGGACAGATATGTTGTGTGACAGAAGTCCACTGACTCTCAAGCTGGTCCTAGTGGCATTAAAAGAAGAAGGGTTACAAGTAACCCCAGAAAAGGACTTGATACCTCAAGTCCTAATGGAAGGGGATTCCCCTTCTAAACAGTAAGTTTGACACTCTCCCCTCCTCCCATCCCATCAATCATCACCAGATCTTCACTAAAGGTAAGTGTCATGTATTCAATTGTTAGTAGAGTACTACTTACCGTGCATGTCTTCTTCAGTTTGTGTGCATTAAACTTAATATTTCATGCGGTAAACTTTTTTTTTTCGTACTTTTGGGTGCTTGTACTGATAAAGCACCATCAGTGATAGGTAAAGTAGCTGGGACTGCAACTTTGATTGAAATCTTTTTAAGTCAGCCTCTACAAAAATATCACTGAATTATACACCAAGAGTCACTGTATGGAAAAACCTTAAATTTGCAGCATGTTATGTTACCAGTTGTGAAATGCATGAATAAATTAAGAGCAAGATGAATAAACAGAAGAGAATTTAGAGAATATTGTGAATTGTTAGATTTGGAATATGGTGATTTTAACCTTCATTGTGAGGTGCACTGACTTTCTAGAGGACAGGTTCTCATTAGATTTTAGAAACTGAAAATTAATGTTTATAATTTTCTAAAAGAGAAGAACGAGCTGCCTGAGGAAAGAGCCTTTTATGTGATAACAAATGGCTATTTGATTTAGCATTTTTAGTTATGTTACCAGCCATCTCAATGATCTAAATTTGAAACTGCAAGGCAAGAAAAAATTGTTTCCTAGCTTAGTAAATTACTATATCAGTGCATTCAAGATGAAGTTAAAACCTCCCAGTTAGAAAATGAGGAATTGAGAATGTTTCCACATTTAAAAGAACAGTGAATGTGCTGAAGATAATGACAATTTTACAGAATACTACATATTGAAAAAAATCAGATTATTGCTAAAGAAAAATACTGCACACTCATATTTATAAACCCATTTTCATAGTGAACAAAAAATCCTAAAGATACCTAGTAACATACAAATGGAACTTAATGATTTGAAAACAAATTCATTATTGAAAATGAAATTTGATGAGCTTCCTTCAGTCCCAAATGCTTCTGACATAATTTTTGGCGTTCATTACCATGTGAACATTTTCCAGAACTAAGAAAATTTGCCCAGCATTACATCTGTCATTTTGGAACAAAGTACAGATACAAACAAGCATTTTCATCCATGAAATTTATTAAAAACAAACTGAGGTCATATTTAAAGAATTCTCTGCTGCTCTCAATAGCTAATTTAACTCCAAACATTACAAGCTTGGCAAAATCAAAGAAGACTCTAAAAGTCTCTCTCAAGTATCCAGGTGTACTCTTTTTTTTTTTTTTTTTTTTTTTCAACAAGTCGGCCGTCTCCCACCGAGGCAGGGTGACCCAAAAAAGAAAGAAAATCCCCAAAAAGAAAATACTTTCATCATCATTCAACACTTTCACCATACTCACACAGTATCACTGTTTTTGCAGAGGTGCTCAGAATACAACAGTTTAGAAGCATACACATATAAAGATACACAACATATCCCTCCAAACTGCCAATATCCCAAACCCCTCCTTTAAAGTGCAGGCATTGTACTTCCCATTTCCAGGACTCAAGTCCGACTATATGAAAATAACCGGTTTCCCTGAATCCCTTCACTAAATATTACCCTGCTCACACTCCAACAGATCGTCAGGTCCCAAGTACCATTCGTCTCCATTCACTCCTATCTAACACGCTCACGCACGCTTGCTGGAAGTCCAAGCCCCTTGCCCACAAAACCTCCTTTACCCTCTCTCTCCAACCCTTTCGAGGACGACCCCTACCCCGCCTTCCTTCCCCTATAGATTTATATGCTTTCCATGTCATTCTACTTTGATCCATTCTCTCTAAATGACCAAACCACCTCAACAACCTCTCTTCTGCCCTCTGACTAATACTTTTATTAACTCCACACCTTTTCCTAATTTCCACACTCCAAATTTTCTGCATAATATTTACACCACACATTGCCCTTAAACAGGACATCTCCACTGCCTCCAACCATCTCCTCGCTGCTGCAGTTACCACCCAAGCTTCACACCCATATAAGAGTGTTGGTACTACTATACTTTCATACATTCCCTTCTTTGCCTCCATAGATAACGTTTTTTGACTCCACATATACCTCAACGCACCACTCACCTTTTTTCCCTCATCAATTCTATGATTAACCTCATCCTTCATAAATCCATCTGCCGACACGTCAACTCCCAAGTATCTGAAAACATTCACTTCTTCCATACTCCTCCTCCCCAATTTGATATCCAATTTTTCTTTATCTAAATCATTTGATACCCTCATCACCTTACTCTTTTCTATGTTCACTTTCAACTTTCTACCTTTACACACATTCCCAAACTCATCCACTAACCTTTGCAATTTTTCTTTAGAATCTCCCATAAGCACAGTATCATCAGCAAAAAGTAACTGTGTCAATTCCCATTTTGAATTTGATTTCCCTCTCCCGAACACTCTAGCATTTACTTCTTTTAAAACCCCATCTATAAATATATTAAACAACTATGGTGACATTACACATCCCTGTCTAAGACCTACTTTTACCGGGAAGTAGTCTCCCTCTCTTCTACACACCCTAACCTGAGCCTCACTACCCTCATAAAAACTCTTTACAGCATTTAGTAACTTACCACCTATTCCATATACTTGCAACATCTGCCACATTGCTCCCCTATCCACTCTATCATATGCCTTTTCTAAATCCATAAATGCAATAAAAACTTCCCTACCTTTATCTAAATACTATTCACATATATGCTTCAATGTAAACACCCCTACCCACTCTGAAACCTCCTTGCTCATCCGCAATCCTACATTCTGTCTTACCTCTAAGTCTTTCAATTATAACCCTACCGTACACTTTTCCTGGTATACTCAGTAAACTTATTCCTCTATAATTTTTACAGTCTCTTTTGTCCCCTTTCCCTTTATATAAAGGGACTATACATGCTCTCCATCAATCCCTAGGTACCTTCCCCTCTTTCATACATTTATTAAACAAAAGTACCAACCACTCCAACACTATATCCCCCCTGCTTTTAACATTTCTGTCATGATCCCATCAGTTCCAGCTGCTTTACCCCCTTTCATTCTACGTAATGCCTCACGTACCTCCCCCACACTTACATTCTGCTCTTCTTCACTCCTAAAAGATGGTATACCTCCCTGACCAGTGCATGAAATTACTGCCTCTCTTTCTTCCTTAACATTTAAAAGTTCCTCAAAATATTCTCGCCATCTACCTATTACCTCCATCTCCCCATCTACTAACTCCCCTACTCTGTTTTTAACTGGCAAATCCATACTTTCCCTAGGCTTTCTTAACTTGTTTAACTCACTCCAAATTTTTTTCTTATTTTCATTAAAATTTCTTGACAGTGCCTCTCCCACTCTATCATCTGCTCTCCTTTTGCACTCTCTCACCACTCTCTTTACCTTTCTTTTATTCTCCATATACTCTGCTCTTCTTATAACACTTCTGCTTTGTAAAAACCTCTCATAAGCTACCTTTTTCTCTTTTATCACACCCTTTACTTCATCATTCCACCAATCACTCCTCTTTCCTCCTACCCCCATACTCTAGGTATATTAAATCATTTTATCTAGAAATGCCAAATATGTCCATATTAACATATTTTTAAAGAACTGATGGGGTTCAAATGTGAAAAAATGCCAAATATGTCCATATTAACATATTTATAAAGAAATGAATGGGGGGTACAAGCATGAAAAAATTGTCACATGGAATGCAAAAGGTTGGCCACCGCTGCTTTAGGCGATCAGATACATTACTGTACATATATTTTAAACTCAATATGATGTCCCTAGTTAATAAAAAAAAACTCATCTTTCCATGACAGACAATAATTTTAAGTAATTTATGTAATTTATTTGATATCCAACAGACCAAATACATCATGTACGTGTTAAACATGGCACTGCTGTTGCTGTCACCACTAAAACAAACACAAAGTAAGTGCCTGCTATTATATTTAGTTTATTGTGTATATTCCTCTCATAGGATTTTCTTATACAGTATATGAATTAAAATCACATTAGCAGTGTGCACTTTATGAAATAATCCTGTATAATTTTCTTCAGGAAGACAGAAGGATTTTCATGTTCATCATGTGAGAAAAAGTTTTCCTCTGTATTAAAACTTCAAATGCATGAGATCAAGCATACTGGTATGTACTACATTTTTTTTATACTTGTTTTCTGTATTTTTTATATGTAGATCTTTTATATAATACAGTATATGAGTAAAATGCCAACTGCAAGCGAGACTTAAACCCTCAGTTCATTGACATTCTTCTGCACAATATATTCCATGATTTATATATTGGCATTATTGTATGTTGAGGTATCAATCAAGTAATCAATCAGTCATTTAATTAATTTCCACATGGCACATCATTTGTGCAAAATTGGATGACCTTACATCTCTCACATGGATAACCCCTTAGTTATGCAGAGCATTTTGAGCAAGCTTAATCCATTGACTGTCCAAGTGTAGACCTACGTTCGCACTGCCAGTGCTGCGAATATTTCGAAAAAAATTTCAAAATTTTTTTCAATTTTTTTTTTCTTAAAAATATTTGGAGTGCTGGCAGTGAGAATGTAGATCTACATTTGGACAGTTAATGGGTTAAGCTTCCTCAAAATGTTCTGCATAACTAAGGGGCTTTCCATATGAGAGGTGTAAGGTCATCCATACTATGTATAATTGTATTTATGTGTACCTGTGAGACAGAGATAGACAGAAACAGAGAGATAGAGACATAGATAAAAACAGATATGAACAGACAGAAGGAGATAGAGACAGCCAAAGTCAATCAGCTTCCCACCCACCAATCCGACCAGCCAGCTGGCCACCCAACCAGCCAGCCTGCCGAACACGTATTACATATGTTTCAGAATTGTTTCTTTACTTAGGGCATAAGTTATAGGACATTCTGGCAGGATGACACTACCAGTGCTATCAAAATTGAAAGGATGTTGCACAAATGTTGCACATGGGTTATTATCAAGGTTTTTTATATTTTCTCAACCACTTGTGGCCACATCCATTCAAAGCCACTAAACTCAGGGGAGTATTAATACGACATGGCATCAGTGAATCCCTGGTGTTTGCTGTGCTGTTTGCTCTAGCTGGCGCTCAATTGAACTGGTGCTCCCACAAGGTACTAAGTGGTCCCAGATTTTTTTAATACTGCACACACCATTCTATGCTGACCAGGAATCTCAGGCCAATCATGCCAGATTTGTAAAGGCAGGAAAAATAAAACATTGATCTATGTCTGGAGCACTAGCGGTAAGAACGTAGATCTACGTTTGGACAGTTAAGGGGTTAAATTTGGAAGGACTATAATATTTTACATATACATATGTGTATACATAACAGTATTAATTTTCACAATAAAATAGATTACATCAATATAAACTAATGTATATGAAGCAGATAAAATCATAAGTTACATTACATGGAAATAAGAACACTTAGATTATACTATATTAAGATTATTCCATTAATTCAAAATAAACTTCTAATAAAATTCCAACAAGAGTGAAACTAGTTACCTGTATTAACCCTTTCACTGTCGGCGCCATATAAGTACAAGCCAGTGTTGGTGACATATTAGTACGCCAAATTCTAGATGCTTCAAATCTAGCGTGAGTAACCTGGTAGACCTACAAGTGAGAGAATGGGTCTGCATGGTCAGTATGCACAGTATATAAAAAATTGGGGGGGGGGCAGTGGTGCATTGTGGGAGTCCCATTTCAGTAGGCCTTGTTTACCATGCTTTGTGGTAAGAAATACCTCACTCCCCAGCAAACTGGGACTCTTCTCTTACCAAGTGATAGTTCTAACACAGATGGAAGTGTCAGTGAAGATGAATTTCATGGTTCTGAAGAGCTTGTGACTGAAAGCAATGCCCAGGATACCAGAAATAGTGCTGAAAATCTAGACGACCATCAACCTAAGATAACCCAAAAAAATCAAAGTGATTTATTTCCAGATGGGTGGTGGGGAAGATGGTATGGGTAATGGGTGGTGGTGGTTGTGTAATGCGGCATGTGACACCAGCCACGCCGCTCTCAGCACATCCACAACAATGGCTACCTTCAGCCACCTACACACAACCTTCCACACGCTGTAGAAATTCTAGGAAAGTGTCCAGTGACTCTATATGTGTATACATATTATAGAAGGAGGGGTGTTAATGTGCAGTTTAAAAACTGTTAGTGTAAAGCACCCTTCTGGCAAGACAGTGATGGAGTGAATGATGGTGAAAGTTTTTCTTTTTCGGGCCACCCTGCCTTGGTGGGAATCGGCCAGTTGTGTAATAAAAAATAATAAAATATTATAGAACAACAGTAATTAACAACTTTTTTTATTGTTGGTTTGTGTAAACATGTTTTGTAAAACAATATAATGATGATAATGTTTGTGGCAGTTATTGTATTGCATACAACGCGTGGATACTATATACATTATACATTATATTTGGTCTTACAGGCCACAAAAGTTACTGGAAAATATAAAATATTAAAAATAAAAAGAAAAAATAGAATAAAAGTAAAAATAATATTACTGAGTGAGTCGCCGATGTTGCCATAAGTGGTTCACTTTCTGTCAGCTTCATGCCTCTATATCTCGATAAGTACTGATTGCATTTTTTTTTCTTTTAAAACACTCAGAAAAATATTCTTAAGATTTTGGTAAGAATTTTTTTTTTTTTTTTTTTGATTATTTTTCGACACTGAGAGCAGGTTTGTGATCAGGGGCTTTGACAGTGAAAGGGGCATTACAGAATGTGATGAGATGGTACAGCCTCTCTCCTCACTTAATGACAGAGTTCCATTCTTAAGACCACGTCGGTAAACGAATTCGTTGCTAAGTGAGGAGCATGCTATAATGGTACTGGGTATGTGTCAGTCATCTTTGATATTATTTTAATGTCACCTTTGCACCATTTATAATATTTCTGGTATATTTTTAAATGTTTATACAGCACTAGTGTACTGTATATTGTAATAAACAGAATAGAAAAAACCAGCACTTAAATACATTGTTTAGATATGCATACTGGACAGAGAGCCTGTCGTAAGTCTGAGTCATCGGTAAACGAGTACGTTGGTAAGTGAGGAGAGGCTGTATAATGGTAGTGGGTTTGTGTCAGCTATCTTTGATATGTTTTAATGTCACCTTTGCACCATTTATAACATTTCTGGTATATTTTTAAATATTTATACAGCAGTTTATTGTATATTGTAATAAACAGAATAGAGAAAATCAGTTCTAGTATACATGTACATTATTTAGGCATGCATACTGGTCAGAGAGCCCATCATAAGTCCGAGGCGTCAGTAAACGAATATGTTGCTAAGTGAGGAGAGGTTGTATTTTATATGTACAGTGGAACCTCAAAAATCGAACGTATCACATATCGAACGTTTCGAAAATAAGACCATTTTTTCGGACAAACTGTGTCCCTATTATTGAACGCGCCCCTATTTTCGGACCGCCAGGGTATGGGACCTGTCTGCTGGCCTGCTCTGTCCGCGTCCCCGCGCAGGCGCCATGAGCAGTCTAGCTTTGTTTATGCTTGAGTGAACACTAACCTGCGATCTCATTCACACATTTTATGATTATTTAATTGTGTTTAGTGCTTGTGGGGCTGTGAAATAAGCTGCCATGGTCCCAAAGAAACTTGCTAGCGGTACCCCTGTGGTAAAAATAGTGAGAAACACCATAGATGTGAAGAAGGAAATAATACAGAAGTATGAGATTGGAGTGAGTCTTGTTGAGCTTGCCAGGATGTACAGAGGACTGTGGACAGTTATTTTGTGAGACAGAAACAGACGACTGTGGACACTTATTTTGTGAGACAGAAACAGACGACTGTGGAGTTATTTTGTGAGACAGACGATTGTGGACAATTATTTTGTGAGACAGAAACAGACAACTGTGGACAGTTTTTTTGTGAGACAGAAACAGACGACTGTGGAGTTATTTTGTGAGATAGAAACAGACAACTGTGGAGTTATTTTGTGAGACAAACAGACGATTGTGGACAGTTATTTTGTGAGACAGAAACAGACGACTGTGGACAGTTATTTTGTGAGACAGAAACAGATGACTGTGGAGTTATTTTGTGAGACAGACGATTGTGGACAATTATTTTGTGAGACAGAAACAGACAACTGTGGACAGTTTTTTTGCGAGACAGAAACAGACGACTGTGGAGTTATTTTGTGAGACGAACAGACGACTGTGGACAGTTATTTTGTGAGACAAACAGACGATTGTGGACAGTTATTTTGTGAGACAGAAACAGACGACTGTGGACAGTTATTTTGTGAGACAGAAACAGACGACTGTGGAGTTATTTTGTGAGACAAACAGACGATTGTGGACAGTTATTTTGTGAGACAGAAACAGACGACTGTGGATAGTTATTTTGTGAGACAGAAACAGAGGACTGTAGACAGTTATTTTGTGAGACTGGGGTCCAATGACTCTCAAGCTGGTCCTAGTGGTATTAAAATACAGAGAAGGGAAGCAACCCCAGAGAGGGCTTTGATACCGGAAGTCCTCATGGAGGGGGATTCTCCTTCCAAACAATAACCCCAACTCCCTCTCTCCTCCTCCCTATCTTCCAGATGCCATCAACAATCTTCAATAAAAGTAAGTAAAAATGTTATTTTATATTACTATACATAATTAAAGACTATAGCATTTGTTGTGTGTATGTAAAACTGTAATTAATCTCTATAAAATGTATTTTTTTGTGAATATTTTTGGGTTTCTGGAACGGATTAATTGTATTTCCATTATTTCTTATGGGAAATATTGCTTCGAATTTCAGACTTTTCGAATTTAGAACTAGCTCCTGGAATGGATTAAGTTCGAAATTTGAGGTTCCACTGTACATGTATAAATACAGTAATCCCCCTAAATTAGCAGGGGTTACGTTCCCAGACCACCCGCTAATTTGGAAAAACCGTGAATTCTGGACACGGTTAAAAACAATACCTGTAAATGCCTATTTTTATAGTTTAAACCTTAACCCTCTCAGGGTCGAGATCCCTGGTCCTTGACCCTTTGAGGGTCAAGAGCCCCGGTCCTTGACCCTTTGAGGGTCAAGAGCCCCTCACCCAAACTTGTTCTCAGGGTCAAAAA